CCCCTATACGTCGTTGTTTTTGTACCATGTCACCGTATTCTGCCAAAGCCCCATACGGACGTCTTTTTAATTCGAACCCTTGCCTCTCCTGTCCTTTTTCGGTATCCGTATTAAGGAGGATTGACTCTAAAACTTAAATGTGGATGTTGCTGCAAATAATGTTGTCTATGTACTATTAGTCCTATGACACATTGGCTGTTTTCACCCTAGAGACGGATTATCCGTCTGAGACGGGTCAGTATTCTTGGATAATTCGCGTCAGAAAGATAATACGTCTTAATTTGAAAATGGAATGGTTTTAATCTTAGATGAACAATCCGCCTGACTTTGTCCATCTCCTTGCTATCCGTCAAACAGTTTTGAAGATGGACTATCAGTTCCTAGTGTGAAAATGGCCATTGCGGTTGCCTGACTGGCCTGCATATGTTAAGTTTGATTTCAAGTTACTATGTTCGCACTATATCGACACAAAAAGCTATCCGCTATAGCGCCTATCCGAAATGCGACTCTCCACTCTGAGATTGGCGCGGCGCAGCTTTGCTCCTTTTCAGACTAAATCGCTGAAATCACCGTTCTGATGTGTGAACAGAACTTGCCCTATCCCGGATATGGTTATAGTACCACCGCAAAAGCTTTCCGAGTGTGAACATAGGCTTAAACTAGCTTAATGACTCACCTTTTTTATATTGGACGCAAAACCCAAGGTCACTATTTATAAAAACGGTCGAAACCGAAATGAATGTCAGCACTGTACGTACAAGACACGAGCAAGGTCCGGTCGATCCGGCTCCATGTCCACATATAAACATTACTTCAGTCCAGGGGAATGTCCTTATCGAGATTAACCTCTTTGGTTTCATCAGCTGAACTTGGGAGTCCAACTGTTAAAAAATCGGGTGAGAAGCTGGGTCCCTATGCCAGCTGGCCACAGGTTGGTCAAGTCGAAAGGATCGGCTTCCGGGTCTGGATTAAGCAATCTTTCAGCTAGGGCTTCCGCGTTCTCCGGTGGAAAGTCGTCTTGTTTCATTAGGTACTTCCACGTTTCAACCACACCTTGGATTGCATCAAGCATTCGGAGCCTCATGTTTGGTTCAGGATTCAACCAAACTTTCCAGTAGATTGCGCTCCAGGTTGCTTCAAACATTCTACGGAATTCTGCAGCGTTTAAGTTGTGGGTTTTGATCATTTCTTTGAGATCACCTACCAAGGACCTTGTGAGAGGGTCGAGTGATTCAATTGTGAGATCATCAGCGTTAAAAGCCATGGCAGTTAACTCTTGGCTGCTGGCAAGATAGATGTCTTTCAGATCATGAAAGCGATAGCTCTGCCTTGACGAGCTGCTAACTGGACGAGTGTCGTCCCTTTTTAGAGTACCTGGTAGCACCATGTGGCCATCAAATCCGTCGGCTTTGGAAGCAGTTTTGACTGCCAGTCCGTTGCTTAAAATGCTTTTCTCTTCCAGCGGTGCTTGAACTGCAGATGCCTCTTTCTGAATCAACTGTTTAGCTGATTGCATGGGATTTTCCATGATCTTCTCAACTTTTCTAGCCAATACATCAAGAATCTCGGGATCATCAATGTAATCTTCACTAAACAGGTTGTAAGATCTCACAAAAAAATGGGGCAACTCTTTCTTTGTGAGAGCCTGCAAAAGGTTTCGGAAGAGCTTCATCACACACTCGACTCTGTTACTTTCGATCCACAGTTCGGCCCCGGTTTCCTCGATTGTTTGCAGAAGTAGGTTCTTCAAGTGAAATGTCACCAAACCCTTTGGATCCTTGAGAAAAGCACGATGAAATTTCTTCAAGCATCGGTAACACTCGCGCTGAATGTCATTCATCGCCTGGCTTAACAGGTATTCTGCATGGTTAAAGGCAATTCTGAAGTCACACTTTGGATTTCCGCCATCCTTCGGAGGCTTTACTACTAAATGGAAGCCCTCCTGGACAACTTTGTCAATCACGTCAGGTGAAGGCCATTGTCGTTTTCGGTTGATCCAATCTTCTGCAACTCGCGGCCACCCAGGACATCTAAGGGCGGGAACTAAATCAACTCCACCCGCAATGGTTGCTTTCTGACCGTCTTTTGCATCTGTTTCTTTCCAAGGAGCCTTGCTTTCTTGACTGAAAGGTCCAAGTATGTGTTCCAAAAGGATGTTTTTTTCACCTGAAACACTCTTGAAATCTGAATAGCTAGGCTCCCCTTTTTCTGCAAAGGGCGGTTTCGCTGTGTTAATAGACTCACTTCCACTCTCGTCGGCGCCGTCTTCATTCTGTCCCTGTTCTTTTTTCTCGTTTACACCTGTTTCACTTATTTTCTTTGGCATGGTGTGTTGTGCTGATTGGTACGGGCTTTCTGACAACTCTCCCATGGTTGATTGACTGAAAGTCGTACCTAAGTTTTCAGCCGTGTTATGACTCTCACGAGAATTTTTTGGAGTGAGGAATGACACACTGGTAGAGAGAAAAGCCTCTTGCAAGACCTTATCCTTCTTACTTCCAGTTTCGTTTCCGTGACAGCTCCCTGGCGTGACACTTTGATCATTACTGTGTTGTTCCGCTTCCGCCAAGTGTTCTCCACTCAGTTCGCTTTCGTTTTGGTTATGACTACTTTGCTGAATAGTGACAACTCGTTCCCTGAGCTGCTTAACGCGCTCGCTGGAAATCAGCTCTTGCACAAAACCGGGGAGCGCCTGAGGTTGGCCTAGGAGACCTCTCTCATGCCAGGACATCTGTATATCATTGGCAAATGTCATGAATTCGCCCAAAATTTCAGCGTGTTCTCTACTGTATTCAAATCCATTGGCGTTGGTTAAAAATTGAGCGAACCAGTCCCACTCAGCTGGGTCGCAATTAATCAAGTTCTGAGGATTATTCATCCTTTTCATCTCCCCAGAAATAGGCCCAAATGACTGGGAACCCTTCACCTGAAGAGCCGGTCCGTCCTCTTTGTTTTTCCATTCCGCAACGACTTGGCCCCAATTTTCTCGAGATGCTATCTGAATGGCGCGAGTTAAATGATTTATCATATGAGGCGCTGATGTGCCGTAAATCGCAGAATGGAAATTCTTGATGGCTGAAGTGGCGACGTAAGGCGTGTCTTCCACAAGACAGGACTGTAAGAGAGGGTGATCCCTGCCTTTGATTCTAACGTGCAGAGGGTGCTGGGGTAAATATTCGATCATTTCGTCGTGAATGAACAAATCTTCTGATTTGGGAATGATCGCGATATCCAGATCTCCAATATCATCCGTTGCTGGGCTTTTCAAGTCTTCGACAGCACTTCCGTAAAGTCGAAACATGACACCGATACTTTCGTTTGCAAACGCTTTGCTGATAAATTCAGGAATCTTTTGTAACAAGTAACACAGAGTATGTTCAGTAAATTCCTTCCATATATCACCTTCATTCCCTCTCTCTCCTAAAGACTTAAAGATAAGGTTTAGTTCCTGAGTTTTCGCGTCTTCTCTTGCCGTCGCCATCTCTTCTGGTTACATTGGCAACTAGCCGACTGCTGACTTCTGGAGCAATAAAAGTTATTGTTTCGATTCTATTTTTGGAATATTACATAAATCCGGAACTAGATGTCAAGAACAAACTAATTTTGACGTCTGACAAGCCTTTTAAGGTCCCACTGACTGCAGAAATGTAGTCGTCACTTTAATTTGCCCTTTTATGGAAGAAAACAGTATTTAGTCTTGTTTAAATTGCCCAAAATTGTCCTGGAAAGAAAGGCTAGTTGTTACATTTTTCTCTTTTTATCACCGTTCAACAGTGTTTACATTCTAGAGCAAATAGGCATCCTCGGGTGCTCTGATGGAAATGAAAGTTTTCGGTTTCCTTACAGTGGCGAGTGATTCAGTTCTTCCCCACTCATCCATAGGCTTTGATATAGATTGTGTTCCCAAAAACAGCACAATATGTACTAGCAGTGTTCGTATATTTCTAAAATTATGCCAATAATTATGCTAGTTTTTGTAAATTATGCTCATTTTAGCAAAAAATGCAGAAATCATGCTTCTAATTTTACTAACGTCTTCAAATTTGGTAAAAACAGCTAAATACCTTTGCAACAGACAAATGACGGGCCAAAGAAGGTAACTGCGATGCATGATCAATGAATGACAATTTTGTGCTGCAAAACTAGTCAAAAGGGCAAATTCTGCAAGCGGAGATTTTTTTTTCAGAAAATCGATGAAAATTACAATACAGTACAATGTTCTTTATTTTGAGAGGGTAGATACATGATTAACCCAGTAAAGAGTTTTCTAACACATGGCCCTCAAAATTATGCTCGTAATGACTTATGCTAGCACAATCTATCTAAGCCCACCCATCCAGGCTATAGTAGGGATAAACCGCCCCGCGAGCTTGCAGTTTTCAAGATCGTGTTATTTTATTACCGGAATATTCAATACAGGGTGTTGTCCCTTGTAGAAATCAATTTATTATTTTGTTACTTGTGATGAGCAGATACTTCGTTACAGTTGACACTGGACTACACTAGACAGGGAAACATTTTCTTGTCCACGTCACGAGTTGAGCCTGAGAATTGGCGCAAACTTTCAGTACTTGGCGAAGCCATTATTAAAAGCAATTTTGGGTGGGTGCAAAGACTAAACAAAATTAATCAACTAGATAACAGCAAGCGAGCAATGAATTTGAACCAAAGTCGTTGGAGGTAATTAGAATTATCCAGAGTTTATTAAAGATGGCTTATGACTTTGGTTTAAAAGTCCTCCGTCGCTTCATGTACAGTTGAACCTCCATGTGCGATTATCTCTCTAGTAAGGGAAAAAAATTCCCAGAGTACAAGTCAAAGCCTTACAGTTGGAACTTCTCGTAGAAGCGCCGTAACCTGCGATCAGGCGGTCATCTTTTTGGAAGCGACTCTATCCCCGAAAAAAGGACACCTGATGGCGGTTAAAGCGATCGTGGGTCCGCGACCACCTTTTAAGATGACGCTTTTCCCCTTACTTTTAACCTCTTCTGAGCGATCGCTTGATACAACCTGATCTCAGTCTGTGATCGCTACAAATATACTACGCTAATGTTAGCTAAAACAGTATCTCCTGCGTTTGTCAGCCAGAAGATCTTAAAATGCGATAAGCCAAGACACCAGCAATGTCTTGTTTACAAATTTGAATGTGACCTGTGCGATGCAGGTTATGTTGGCTACACATCTCGCCACTTACACCAGCGAATTGAGGAAGACAAAAGCGCAATTTCATCCATCGGCCAGCACTTTCAGAAAACATTTCGTTTGTTCGTTTGTTCCCTTGTTCCCTTGGTCCCTTGGTCCCTTGTTACCCTGTTCCCTTGTTGCCTTGTTACCCTGTTACTCTGTTCCCCTGTTCTCTTGTTCCTTTGTTCCCTTGTTGCCTTGTAATCCTGTTTTCCTGTTCCCTGTTCCTTTATTTCCTTAGCTTGTTCCCTTGTTTTCCTGTTCCCCTGTTCCCTTGTTCCTTTGTTTCCTTTCTCCTCTGTTTTCCTGTTTCCTGTTCCTTTGTTTCCTTAGCTTGTTCCCGTGTTTTCCTGTTCCCCTGCTCCCTTGTTCCTTTGTTCCCTTTTTCCTCTGTTTTCCTGTTCCCTGTTCCTTTGTTTCCTTAGCTTGTTCCCTTGTTTTCCTGTTCCCCTGTTCTCTTGTTCCTTTGTTCCCTTTCCCACCCCCCGTTTTCCTGCTCCCTGTTCCTTTGTTTCCTTAGCTTGTTTCCTGTTTTTCCTGTTCCCCTGTTCTCTTTCTGCTGTTCCCTAGAAAAAGGAATAGACCTCAGCTATTTATTTGCAACTGTTGCAAAGTCAATGCTTATTTGTGAGACTTTGGGGTGCTGGGGTTGGGCAGGGTTGGGAGGGGGTTAGGGAGAATACCTCCAATCCTTATCAGGGAGTATTGTGTGTTTTCACATGACGTCATGGCGGCCATATTTGTGTCTAAAAACAATGAAACGGCGGCCATGTTTGTGTCCCAAACGAATCCTGTGGGATTTGAACTCTTTTCTTCTGTAACCGCTTTCTTTTGTTCCAATAAATTTGCATAGGTGCTGGCCGCGTGAGTGAAAACACAGAATAGTGGAAAGTGCCTCTAGAACTACATGAATCATCAGGAATGTTCCTCTGGTCTATTGTGCTTGGTGTGTGTGTGTGTGTGTGTGTGTGTGTTGAGGGGGGGGGGGGTTACTTTAATGATTCTTGGGTGGGGATGTACCACTGGTACCCTGAAACCCATAGTTCAGCTGAATTTTGCTACCCTATATTAGTCCAAACTCCCTAAATCTCTCCCTATCCTAGATTCGCTATTTTCCAGAAACTACCGAGGTCGACACTCTCTTTGATATTAAGCCGAGTTACAGGGAAATCAATTTCATTTTTTGACTGTCAAATCCCAGTTTCCCTAGTGTAGAGTCAAATCTTCAAGCAGTTGACCAATTCGTGGAAAATGATACTCTATTCTTGACCCAAACTCTCTATTTCCATGCCTTATCCCAGAGTAAACTGCTTGAGAACCATACCCTTCACACTGTGGCCCATATAACCCTTAAATGGCAGTACACTACCCCTTGACTATTGTGCTTCCACTAACATTACTTTCCGGGCTCTTAGTTATAAATTTGTCCCTGGTGCCGCAAGAGAAGACTATGGAAGTTCATTCTTATTTTATTGTATTTATTTTTTGACGTTCATGAAATAAATGTGTGAGTACATTCACTTTTGTACGCTAACGCTTTACCTTAAAACAACATACAGCATCCTTTTAACCGTAAAAAGGCGGTCGATGAAGTTTTTAGCGAGGCTAGGCTTTTCTAGACATCCGAATATCAACACAGAATCAGGGGCACCCAACGAGAATATACTCCAAAACCACATAAACATAGCATTGTTGAACGTACTTTAGTATTTAAACGGTAGATAAAGGCTTATTTTTATCCCCTAAAAATTTTTCATCTGTTCAGATTTCCTAGCTGAAAGTATAGTGATCCGAAAATTATAGGGATCAAAATTTACCTTTTCGAAAATTTCAGCCAGAAAAAAGGCTCCCGAAAATTCTAGGTGACCTTTTTAGGGTAAAAATCCGTTAAAAATGGGCAATTATACGATTTTTTTGATATTCGAAAATCCTAGGAGAGGCAGGCAAGCAAGAAATTTTTCAGAAAATGATCCGAAAATTCTAGATCTCAAATCGTCTTCCGAACAGATAATTTTCCGAAAATTGTCGTTGGCTGCCCCTGACAGAATATTTTCACCATAAATATTACCAAAGAACATACTTTACACCGGTATCTAACTACTTCTGGAAAATCGATTACTTAAGAAACATTTGTCTTTCGAAGAATTAATCTGTTAATGTTTGTTCACTCGCATAACGAGTACATGATAGCACTTTGCTATCCCAAAAAGCTGGCTATGATATATCTGACGTTTGAAGATTCTTGCGCGGTAGTCCACTCTGCTGTCAAATTGAACTTTTCTTGTAGAAACGTTAACGAACGTTTCTGCTTGGGAA